CGGAAGCTCTGAAGTCGGTCATTGGGGAATTTCATAGCATCCGGGTCTTTACACCACGTGCCTCCATCCAGTTGCTGTTGCAGACCCTTGTAGTTGGTTTCGGTGAAGATGGCAAAATGCTGGTTCTTTGATAGCACGATGACAGAGGAAACTCCTCCATTTTTTCCGCTTGGGAAATACGGGTTCACATCTGGGCAACTTTCTTCAAACCACTGCACGAAATTGTGAAAAGAATGGCACTCAGATAAAGGAAGAAACAACTTTCATCAGAAACTAATTTTATACTATCATCTAGCCTCTAAGATACTTTCTCTCGCAAACAATGAAGTTCGTTTTTCAGGAGTGCCTTTTACAAAAATGTTTGGATTTGGTTGGAACTTCCATTTGATATGAATTTTTGAAATCGTCTAGATATACCTCCAGGAACTGGGAAGGGAGATCTGGGGCGAACCAGAGCTATGACGTCATTTGGAGAAACGTGCTTTACCTTGTCACGAAACATTATTTAGTTTGCTATCGAAGGGAAGGGCAGGGGAATTGAAACAAAATAACTAGTTTTACACCAAATGTCTGACCTCCGTGACGCTAACAATAATCTGATGGGTTTTTTTTTTCGCCCGTCACTTAAACACTGTCCGCATGATGTATGACCTGTTTGTGATCCCTTACTATTTCGTGTCACTTGATGCAATGGCCGTGTGAGAACAAGCTATCCGATTTGTCTCCTATCGCCCGTCTAAGCGACTTTAAAGATTATTCATCGGAAATTAGCTACGATACTTTTTGAAAGGATGATTCCAGACCCGAGTTCACTATACATGGCCAATCTCAAGCCAGAATTCCTAAAAATCCATGTTCATAATTAAGAAAATTAAAGAAAATAATTACTTTCTATGATGCCACATTATTCATTTTGAAATGACTGCTACTGATCGGGGTCAAAGGTGGTTTCTCCTAGCCTTGTTTTCAAATGGGAATCGTAAGACAGAGTGGAGGACATTATTTCACAGAGAGTGGGAGCTTTTGATTATTGAGAAGTTTATGTATCCTCCATGATTTACCTTGCTGTC